TCCAGGTTAATCAAACCCTCATTTATTATTCGGTGGCTCTTCATGCCGTCTCATTCCATTTTTCCTTCTCCCTAATTAAACCTCGTAGCAAAAAGTAGTTATAAATTAATTCCTTGCCATTCTTTCTTCTATTCAGGAGGTTGCTTGCTTTAATTAACTTCCATCGACTTCTTTACATTTAACTTGACCTTGATGTCTACATGCGCGGCAAAACGTTGGGGTTTAGATCAATCCATCTGGTTTCCTCCAGTGACCATAGTCTCAGAACCTCTTCTGTATGGCTCATGAGCATAAAACCTCATAACAACCTGATTTGCACAGAAGATTCCATTAAAACGGCATGACCAAGAAGAGAGTTGTACATTGAAATTATACACTACTTTATATTGTATCGTTTTGCTCTGTCTACCCAATAATTAGCCAATCTTTTTCGTAAGCTGGCCATATGTTAGCAACAGTAACCTGAATGAAGAGTTGTCCAAATCCCTGTTTCGCTCTAATTAATTGTTTTCGCTTATCAGTTCTTGGCAATTAATACTAATTGATAGTTGTTATGGCCAAAAATTGTTCTCAACCTTTCAAACTCTTGATCCTTGTGATCTATGTGAGTTTGTATTTGCAATGATTTCGTAACCCCTGTTTTAACACAGCAACCAGGATAAGAGAAGAAATTATGATTAAAAATTATCATTTATGAGTTTCCTATTTACATCCCTACGACATTTTTTCCCCTTCCTTAGGCAAATTACTGTCCCTATCCAACTCCATCTGCCGTCCTTTCAAATCTATGCATAGACGTAATTATCTGCTCTATGATCCACAGGCTCGGTCTGGAGGAGGAGTAAGCTGTGGCTACGATGCTTACGGCCCAGGTTCGAATCTCATTGGTGCTGCTGATCGCCTCACCTGAGCGGTGGTGAACCTGAAGTCCAACCTGGAGGAAGATACATTTTGGTAGGCATGAATCCATATGAGCTACTCATGTGGTTTTGGAGAAGCGTAATTCGAATTGTTTACTACTTTATAAGCAATCTAGGACGACTGGTACTGTCAACCTAAGCATTCAGTCGACTTCACCTGAAACTGGAGTATGAAGCCACACATGCCCTGCAGCTCTTTTGGCGTATGACCGAAAAACAACTGTTGATAGTATGGCGGTATTTGGGGCTGGAATAACCCTCCCACATTCGTGGCAGGCAAGGCTAGAGCCGCTTGCGAACTATGCTGCTGGGCAATTTGTCTCTTGCCTTTAGGACGACTTCATGCATAATTGAGTGGTATGTATGGAGCAGACGAGTGCACGTTGTATGAAGAATATATGGGAGTTTCGAAGCGATTTCTTTACCAGTAGGATATACTTGCGCAAGACATTTGTGGTGAAAAGTCGCTTTTACGGAAATTATACTTTGCGCAGTGCAGTATGCATAAGTGCATTAATAATTCACTGAATCAAGAGTAAATTATACCAGTTAAATGAAGATGTAAAAACTATGCTTGTATGACCTTTGGTATGGTTGTAGCCTCTTGTTGTTGCATAGTCTTAGCTGTACCTTGCTTTCATCATCATCAGTACTAGCTTTAGCACCGAACCACAACTCTTTAAAGTAATGCATCAAGGCAATCCGTTGATAGATAGATTTCCATTTGGTCCTGGTTCCTTTCCCATCTAAAAGCGTTGTATCCTACCCAAAATTCGTTGGTCAAACTATCATTCAACTTCGTCCTAGAATACTAGAACCCATAAACGCTTAGGTCTATAACATCAACTTACGGGCAGGATTTTGCTTCACCATACAACTTACCCCTCAAGCTTCCTAACAGTCGGTGGATGTCCTCATCATTTTGCTTATACAATGCTTCTATCGTGTTTACCACAGACTCGGGCGCACCACTAAGGCCCAAATGTCATTAATGCCAGCAGTAGTACTAATAAGTAGTTTAGATTTTTAAATTTTGCTTCCGCCCTATCAGTATTGTGTCGTGGTTAGTGTTACTTCCCATGTCATTTCTAATTGCACTATTTCAAGATTTGCCACCCTCCAGTCGAGACACCTGCTTGTCGCGCAGGTTTGTAATGCCAGTGGGGTCGGCCAAGTCCGGATAGGTACCGGACTGTATGAGCAGGCTTTAGATGTGGTTAGAAGGGAGAAGTCACGACGCCAGAGAGGACACGTAGTCCCGGCAGACGAGGCGTGAGGTCATAAATGGGAGTGTACAGAAAACGCGGAAGGGCATCCGCGATTAAGCAAATATGGACAGCAGATGAGGTTACCTGCTTGTTGCAGGACAAGAAGAAGTGGCTACACAAGAGGCCTACTCGTCCGTCAGGAAAGAGCAGAGTCGTAAATGTTGAGGTCGTCTGGTGGGCAGGCGGTGGCGCATCTCGGCCAGTATGTTCGCATAGTTTTAATTTCTCAGTCGTCTGGTACCTGAAGGGGGTAAGGATATCTGTTTTATTGCCATGCTTCCTTTGTTTCCAGGGCCGCAGGGTCAACGGAGGAGCAATCCGGGTGACTGAGAGTCGCTTGCAGAAAAGCAGACCACACTGACCCCC